CTGCTCACTCACCTCAACAACTATCCTTACAACTCAGCTATTTTTCTGTCTTCAGTCTTCCAAGTGTGTGCAGGGTAGTACTGGCCCTCTATTCTCTGTCTTCTGCAGAGTCATGAACAGAGTTCCTCTTTCATTGAACTGGAAGCAACAATGCTAATCCTATTGTGCTTTCAATTGTTATTACAAGTTGCCTGGTAATGTTTAAATTGGAATTATTCAGTATTTATGTTTCTTCACTCAGCTCCTATTCAAGGCCAGGAACCTATTATCTGGATGCTTTAGAAGCATTTTAGCATTAACTAATATGTGCTTTCTTTTCATAGAAAAGTATTGCATACTGAAAAGTTGAGTGGTGAAGAATAACTGCAATGTCTTTTAATGCATTTTGTTATAAATATTCCTTTTTCACAGAAACACATCATTAGAATATTATTCCTACATCTAATGGCATTAAAAATTAGAACTATGCCCAGAAAACTTTCAGAGTCAATTATAAGGTTTCCTTCTAAGTATAGTAGTTCTTCTTTGAAGTTCATAAACAAGTGTATTCAACATGGAAAATGAATTTGTTGTCAGAAAAAAGGAAATAAAAAAGTAGAAAGCGGAAATGACTATATTTTAGTTTATTAGGCAGCATTATACTTAAATCAGTTGAAACAAATGACTGTGTCTTATAGTTGGGTATATCTAGTGTTAAAAAATGTTTGTTCTCTCTAGGTAATCCAGTTCATTATTTTATTTCGTGAACATTTCTATAAGTTGTGTGCATGGCAGTAACTGGCAATCTATCATCAATAATGGTTTATATTTTTCATTTAAAAGGCATTTCAATAACATATTAACACTCAAACCAATATTTTACATTCTAAAATGCTGCTTGAGGACTCTTTAAATAGTTCCAAAGGCATTACTCCAGCTAGTCTTCTATTTGGCATTTGTGGAATTTGTTCTTACTCTATTTGCTGGGAAATGAGATGAATCTTTTAAAGCTGAAAATATGGTATCAGCAATGTTTACACATGCTTGTAGTTCAAGATTGCTCTAACCAGGCATGGGTAAACCCAATCCACATGTTTGTATTCGTACGGGTCACTTTTTTTCCTTCAATGTTTAGTTCATCCTTCAGTCAGTCCACAAACAAATCTGCCTCTAAAATAGCCTGAATAAAATAATTTCATTTCTGTTTATGTTAGGCTACATAAATGATAAAACCAAATACCTTCTTTTGGCATGCAGAGTCCTCCATGAACTGAACCTGGTTTATCTCTAAAGTCTCACACAGGTTCCACCTCATTTATATTGATTAAGGGACATCAGGAATACACACACATGTCTCATTTAGGTTGTATCTTATCCATATAATACCTTTCATGTGAACCTCCTTCTTGCTAACTATTGCTTGGACATAAAGTTTGAAAGCACATAATCTTACTTACCTGAAATACTCCCTGACATCTGTCTCCTTCAGACGATCACAAAACCCTGTTCTGTGTCCATAGAGTTGGCGTTACCTCTTTTTTTATTAACATATATAGGCTCTAAATCTTTTTAATGTAGAGGTTTGTCATAGTCATTATTTTGCTTCTAAGTAATACTGCAATGCTTGATGTGCTTTAAGTCCTACGTAAGTGTAGAAAGCTGTTAACCAGAGTTCCTTGCATAGGCAACTGTACTGACTGCTAGAATAAGTGCAGACAGCACTCAGACACATGGTTTGATCCTACCAGAAAGAAATGAGAGAAGTCCCACGCCAGTGGAAGAGTTAAGTTTCTGAAAACTCTTTTACGATAAGAAGTGGCAATAAAGAAACCTTATAAGTAATTAAAGTTAGAAACAGATTTCCTCAGCAAACATATGAAACCTTAGGGAAAGTATTTTATATGTTTTGAAACATTACATTGTTATAATTCTTTACAACTGGAATAATGGCTGTTTTATAAAGTGTCAGTTTTCTCATTCTGAAGTTTGAGTTTTGAAAGACTGGATTCCCTTTAGTTGAATGAAACTTTATAGAGAAAGTTACACTCACAGAGTATGACAAAGGCAGTTTTCATACTTCCTCTTTTTCTACCAAACCACAAAGAACAAATGAAAAGGAACTCAAGGCAGAGAGCTATGAGCTCTAGACCCTATTGTTGGAAAGGTAAGGGCTAGTGAGGGGAAAAATGGGCATAGTTTATAAAGCAATGGGTCATGCAAATGCTGACCGGGTGACAATGATCTAGAACAGAACTGGAAGTCCTTTAGGTCTGCTGTGTGTAGAGAGAGCACTAAGTGTGATAACACGGTGATCCCTCTAAGAACCACCTGGCACCTGTTGCTAATACAAGTTGGTATTGACTCAATGGGAGTGGTTAGGTAAGTGGAAGGGAGAGTCTAATTAAATGAGTCAAGCATGAAGATGGTGGTAACTAGAGATAGATGGGAGTGTAACTTGGGAAGTATTTATTTAATCAAAGATTACTCTGCTACTCTCACCTCTCACAGATGAAACAAAGAACAAAGGTTTGTATGCTTTATTGCAAGTAAACTACTTATGGACCTGTTTCCATTTAATATCTTTCTGAGTTTATAATAGAGTTTTAGATTTCCAATTTTCAGAATAAGAAATAACAACACGGATGGAAAAATGCCATAGATTGCTTTTATAGAAATGACTTAATACAACTCAGTATATTTTTAAATTTCCGCCTATTATCTACAATCCTGTTACCTTTGGCAGAAAACTCTAAGCCAAGCACATGTATTTCAGTTCCTTTCCTGCCATGCATAAAAGGCAGTTCTACAGTCAGGTCCTTTGTACAACTACTTAGTTCTTTATCTTTTCTAACATCATTCCCAGGTCTCTGTTCTCTGTAATTGCTAATAAGAGAGATCTAAAATTGAAGTGTATTGGCAGTTCAAATATTAAAAAAAAGTACCTGAGCAAATACGACTCTATTAAAATTTTTGTAAGAGGAAGCTTTAACTACCACATAGTTATACAAATTAAAGTTTCTATATCCTAACACATTTGGAGTGTACATGCCACTAAATTCAAAGAGTAATCTAGGAAGACTTTACACACAGTTTATGGTCATTTCCATACAGAAGTAAGAAAAGTAGGATTGGAAAAGAGAGCACAACTATATTGTTATATTTGCAATGTTGAGTTTTGCACCTTGTGCTGGAATTACCAATATTCATACATATAATTTTTCAAATGAGCATTGGTGCTGAGAAAATCAGGGTGGCACTAATGTACTGACTGGAATTATTTCCTATTTTACAGACATTAAAAAGGTTTCCAATAGTTTAAAAAAAAAAAAAAGGCATTATCAGTATGAGTTTCTGAAGAAAGGAGGACAATGAACTGTTTCATTAAGTCTCCATATGGTTTAATCTGTTCTTCAAACGTAATCATCCCCTGAAAACTCTGCCATAAGTAATGCTTATCTGTTCTCAAGCTTTCTGTTTACATAAATCCAGTGAACTAGGTTAGCTCAATAGCATAAAGATGAGTATATTTTTCATTTTCCCACCTTGATAGTAGATGACTTGGAAGCAATGTTTGTGTGACTAATTCCACCAAGTCAAACTCGTCAGACCCCAGGGCAGTTCACAGGAAGCAACCTACTCTCTGGAATACAAACAGGCCTTCTTGATCCAAGTTATTGTCTAGCACAAGGAAAGCTGTGCTGCCACCATCTACATTTTTGCATTTGATAGCTGGCTTTGACCGAATTTTTGTGAATCAGTAGCTAGGGTAACATAGTTCTATATATTCTGTATCTTGTGGATAATAATTACAGATCTGAGAGCAGTTAATGACAATACATTTTGTTAAAATATTGATCGAAATAAAAGGCACCACATACTACCTATTAACACAACCATCTTGTGACTTCTCAAAGCCCAAGAGACTTTCAATTAGGCTTACCTAAAACCACCAACTAATCAGAATATATTTCTAAGAAAAAAAATTGGTGAATATCTAAGATGCTATTTGACAAATAACTAGCTTTTCCAAAATATTCCAGGTATCTCTATGAAAAATTCTATTAATTATGTATCATTTACCAAGAAAATGTACCATTATCAAATCAAGGCACCCTGTTTTTCTGTCATCCAAACTGATTTGTTATCAACATGAGTTATTTTTGCTGCAAAGTTGGGATAAAGTAAACAAGAATGATGCCAAAATAAAACTGCTCAGCTATCAAAAGTTCATGTTGAACATTCTCTCCACTCTTAATATACTGGGAAACTTATAAATTACCACTGCTTAAAATTTTTAAACTTTGGTCTATAATATGAAAACAATAAGATTATAAGCATCATTCATTTTTGTTTCTGAAAATATTGGACTTCAACAGTTACATTCCTACCTTCCTAAGTATTAAGAGACAAGAAGAAAGGTGAATACAATGGAAAGTGGTTCAAGCTCTATTACCCATTATATATATGACCTTGAATAAGCCAGTTAAATATCTGAATCTTAATGTCTTTATCCTTTAAATAAAGATAGTTCAACACACCTACCTTTTGTGCCTCATGCCATTGATATTAGACTCAAAAGAAGTACCATATAGAAAAGCATTCAACATCAGTAAGAGCTATTCAAATTTTAGTTGTTATCAAAAGAATGACTACACATGAAACTTAGGTGCTGTATGGAGCAGTAACTTAATCTGAGTTAAATGACTGCTGTTACTAAAAATAAAAGTACTTACAATCAGGATTAGCAAAACTCTAATTGACCTTCGATTATATAGGGTTACCAGTGAGTAGTCAGGATAATCAAAGTTCTGATTGTATAATGAAGTACAGAAATCTATACTAGCAGTTTCAACATTATCACTTGCAATGTATTACTTAGAATTTCTGAATATTATCATCTTAAAATTGAATACTCTACACCAACAATTATATATTAGAAAAGCTGTACTACTAAAGAAAATATATTCTAAAATGATTTTTAAAAAAAGATTAAAGTTGGTAATAGGAAATAATAGACTTACTTAACAATATCTTCTAGTGGATTCAGTTATTGAGAAAGTCCATTGATGCAGTGAAGAATCATTCTGTGTATTATAATTTCTGTTGCTTTAATTTCATCTAATATGAGAAAAAAAAAAGTAGTATAAAGCTCATTGTTAAAATTTTTCAGTTGAGCAAAGTGTTAAATGTTATACCATTAAATATTTAATGATAATGTCCAGGATCCTAGAATGTATTGAATATAGATGGAACCACTAACTAGCAAGTTAGTGATTGAACCAGAGACTATGCTGATGATTGTCCAAGTGTTGATAAAGATACAAGAGAAGGAAAAAAAGCATATATGCTATAGGTGGTCACAGTAACCCTGGGTATTTTTCTATATTCTTTAGTGACTGAGAAAATAGTTCATATTTAGGGCAAATATTTTAATAGTCAATAATTTTTACTTTAGTATAACCAGCAACAATTTCAGAGTGTTGTGTTTACTCTTGATTTTTATAAAAATAACTTGAAGAAGTATAAAGCACAACTTCTTTAAAATAAGAAGTAACAGTTTATAAACAACTGATTTGAAAATTTGAATCTAGAAAAACAAATGATTTGCTGGAGCACAGAGAATTGAAAAACTATTTACTTGGCTTTATAAGCCATAGATTTTAAATTAAGGGTGATATGGGATTTAAGATATAACATTTTCACTTATTCAGTCTACCTCACTCCATTTTTTGTAAAAATAGAAATAAATTTTCTTAAAGTTGTAAAGTAGGGGTCTCCCTGGTGGTGCAAGGGGTTAAGCACAGCACTGTGATGCTATTCGAAGCCTCTGCAGCACTAGTTTGATAACTGGCCGGCCAGGGAACTACCCACATGGCACAGCAGACCTCTCCTGACTCTCCTGATGCTCCCCTCAGCAATGTATTTTGGTCAATCTGCCTGTTCTGTCCCCCACTCTGACTCTGGTGAGTCCTCTCACCCCCACTGCACCTCTGGCCTGAACCCTAGTTCTTATATGCAAAAATAAATAAATCTTTTTTAAAAAGTTGTAAAGTAAATAACATTTCAATAATAATCAAATTTTCCTAATTCAGTAAGGTAAAATTCTAAGATTTCACAAATAATACTTGGGTAAAATTCTATATCTCATATTATTAAATATGCTCTGATGGAAATTTTTAACAGTAAGAATGTAAGCATTCAGTTTCTAACTAAGTTTTTCTTCTTGAAAATGTTAATAAGTTTTTAATAACAGATTAAATTCTTTTAAAAGATTATGAAAAATGCATAATTTCTCTATAAATTCCAATGTTTTATTTTTCTAGGAATTCTGCCATTTCATCTGAATTTTCAAATGTATTGCCATAAAAGCACATTAGCAGACATCAACAGACACTTGAGCTCTCCAGGGTGCTTGGTTAGCTCAAATAAATGAATGACAATAGCCCTGGATTTTAATGGCCATTCCAGAATGGGAAATGAGTGATAAATTAGAACCAAAGTCCCTCCAAATACTCAGTACTTGAGGAACACAGTTTCATGCAAGAGGTGACTCATTATCTTGGCCTGGACTCTGTACAAAACATTACCCGTGAAAACTTGGAAACCCTGCAATATTCTGTTGTCAAGTAAATTTATAGATTTTAATGTATATTACATATGGTCGCATACATGTATATTACATATACATGTATATGTATATGTAATATGGAAAACTACTACATCAAGAAACTTACTTAAAAAGTAGTCATAGGTGCAATTACCTCTGGAAACTGGAACAACTGACAAAGAAAAGACACATGGCCTTTAGCAAAATCAGCATACAATGTGACTACAATTATAGTCAGCATAGTGACTGAATCAACTGATCTATTAACCAGTATCAAACATGTTAGATATTTTCATTAATAAAACCAACATTTTTAGTTACTAAAGCAACAAAAATTATATATAATTACTGAATTTCTCAAATATTATAACCAGGACAGGAAGAGATGTTGAAAAATGTGATGTTAAGAAATCATACTATAGATGCATTTAGTCTAATGAATAATCAACGGGGTTAATTTCATAGCAAATTAGAAGATTTCAAGAAGTAGCAGGATATTCAGAGAGTCCATGGTAGAGAAGACCATGGCTCAAAATTTTAGAAGTTCAATAGAACTGTAGAGACAGAAATTGGCATAGTAGCATGAAATGAGACAGAAGATGTTGGCAAGGGCAAAAACATGCAGGTTTTTTAGATTACGCAAGAAATTTGGATTTCATCCTTTGAGCAAATGGAAACCATAGCAGCAATTGTAAGTCAGAAGGATTTTTTTTTTAATGAAGATTGACTACAAATGTGCAAGAAGTAGAGTAGAGTATGGTAAAACTATGAGGCAGAAGGGTATTTCTGAAGTAGGGTAGAGCCAAGATTATAGCTGTGATTCATGGAGGAGAGGAGACAAGGGACTGGGAAGAACGGAGCAGGACTTCCAGGTATCTGGCTTGTGTATCTTGGTGTGCATTACCATATTCACTGAGATAGGAAACACTGGATGAGGGGCATAATTAGGGGGAAGGAAAATTACCCTCACAGAAAAATGTTAAGTTTGATTAATGCATGGGGAAAAGAAACAGAAGTAAGGAAAAATGTGGATGTCCCAGTTGAAGTGAATGCAATCACATGGATGAATACTGGATGAACATTGTCAAAGGTCTAAGATAAAGCTCTGAGGAATTGTCTTACTTCTATCTCAGTCATTCAGTAGAAATCACAGATTTGGATATGAATCTGACTACAATGGTAACTGAAAGATGTATGGACAATGAAACAATTCAGCTAGGTTTTGAAGGATGAGTAGGAGTTGTTTTTTATCTATAGAGGAGAAGGTAATTACAACTTGTGAAAAGTATGTATGCATAAGATAAAATGAAGTAATCATAATGGTTAAAAACTCAGTCATGCAACATCTCTGTAATTTGTGATGGTAGAAAGTATGGAAGTGAAGATGATACATAAGCAGCAACCATGTGTAAAAGGCTTTGTCTTTTAAGGAAATGAGATTTTATTTTCCTGAAGATAATGGGGAGTCAGTGAAATATTTCAAGCAGATGAACAATGTAACTAAATTTGCATTTTAGGAACATGAATAGCTACAGAATGGAGGAGAAATTAGAGTAGTTTTTCTAAAACTTTGTTCCAAGTAACCCTAGCTCAGTAAAAAAGCAATCATTTTTATGTGCAATAAAAATTCTGTAATCAAGTAAATGTGGAAAATGTTGAAATAAAGATGCTTTTAGTGCAAGACTTCTCAGTGACTGTAATATGCTAATACACATTATGAATTCCCGGTATGGAGAAATAGAATGCAGTTTCTCAAAGTTATTAAACCATGGAACCCTTTCCTCAAATAGCAACTCATGACTATTTTTCTTGGGTAACCACTAATTTAAATGCTCCAATTTAAGAGTTTGGGGATGATATTGTGTCTTTTGGAGGACTTCACACAGGTAAAACTACACTGAAAACAAAGGCATAAAGAAATATGTGGTGAGGAGAATTAATTACAGATTTAGTCAATTTTCAATTTTGCATTAATTATTACTGAGTTTATGCTTTGGAATGCCAATCTGTCCACACCAGAGATTGAGCAGAGTCAACTATAACCAGATACTGAGTTACTAAGGAATTCCAAAAATATGAGTGTATACATGTCTATGTTACGGTGCAGCTTTGAAATTACTTAAGATATTAATAAGTTGAGTTCTCTTATGATGGGTGTTGTGATAGTTAATGCTTTTGAAAGTTTGAGACTGAACAGAGAACCAGTTCTCCAAATGTTGCCCTTCGAACATTAACAAAAAGAACAACAGCTCAGAATAAGACAAAGAAAATATGTTTTATCAGTAACAATGATCTTTCTATTTCTTAGCAGTTAATGACTCATCTTTATTTTGACAGAACCCATTTTTTTTCTTCCCCATCATTTTTTCTGAAAGTGCTGTGCCATTTGCTCTCTGATAAGAAACATCTTTTATTTAACCTACGACTTAAACACTTATCAAACCTCCTGAGGATTCTAATAGAGTTATTTGGCATTCTGCTTCCTCATATATTTTCAAAGCTCTTATGAATAGTTCAGGTTTTTTTAATTTCTGACTGTGAGAAAAAATTGGAAGGGCTCCAGATGTCAACCTTGGCTACTTCTTGACATACCTAAGAGAAGGTTCTGAAATCTCTAATTTCTCAGCTTTAAGTATAGCCAACAGGGACATTTGACATGTAATGAATTACTACCATTTTCAGATCTGGGATCACAGAAGTGCTAGGGGCCTTAAGAATATCTTTGCTGCTTTTTATTTACAATAAAATTCTTCCTATCATGGTAAGTCATAAATGGCCTTATACTTTTCAATCTGGTTTCATCCTAGTTCAGTTTACCAGTCCATTAACTAATATTGAGAGGAAAGGCATCTGCATCTGTGCTATGCCAACAGTCTGCTCAGTGTTTAAGAGAATTCCTTTAAAATAATCAGCTAATCACATGCATGTTCACAAATGCCTATATCCACAAGTGATCCCTTCATAGAATCACTTCGAGAAGTAATAATACTTTCCTAATAATACCATTGTGGCTAAAATATATTTTTGTACTATTCATTTGTAGATGACTTTAGATCCATTAGCAAGTCATCAAAGGCTCAATTTCATGTTCACAAAGTTGTAGTTAATCTAAAGCTTTAAGCATAAAGATGTATGTTACACCATAGTATAAGTAGGAAAAGAATCATTTGAATAGATATTGGTGAAAGAATAACAAAACATTTGCTCTATGCAGAGCAACCTGGCTAGTACAGTGCTTTAATGGAATATTTTTAAAATAATTTGCTAATTGTAAAAATGTTAACAGAATATATGCATCTATGAACATTTTCCTGTATAGAAACAACTCAAGAAGCAATAGCATTATTAGAATTACTATTAAAATGCCTCAAAAATCCATTTGGAGTTTTCTTTTGACCAAGTTTAAAATAAATAGAAAATATCAATTTCATTTCTGTTTAACTATAGTTAATACAGGACTCTAAATAAAAAATAGATCCTATTATACTGCAGGGCTAAGAACAAACATTTC